CTCCTGCCTTCCCCCTCTCTCAGATTCCCCTCCTCCTCTGTTTCCCCTTATAAAAGAGCAGGCATCCCAGGGATATCAACCTAACATGGCATAACAAGTTACAATAAGACAAGGCACATGCCCTCATATCAAGGCTGGGCTTAGCAACCCAGTAGGAACTGGGCTACCACTCTAGCTCCCCATTCCTTCCTTCTCCTCTTCCACAGGGTTCACCGAGCTCTGCCTAACATTTGACTGTAGCTCTGTGCATCTGCTCCCATCAGTTGCTGAACGAAACCACTCTGATGAGAATTGGGTTAGGCTCTGGTCTTGAGTACAGCAGAATCACTAGGAAACATTTCATTGGTTGCCCACTGCCAGAAATTCTGTGCCATCATTACCCCAGCACATCTTGCAGGTAGGATAAACTATAGGTTGAAGGTTTTGTGGCCGTGTTGATGCCGCAGTGGTACTACTGGAAGCCTTGCTTGGTTACAGAAGATGGCAGTTCAGGCTCAGTATCTCCCATTACTAGGAGTCTTCACTAGGTTCACCCTTGTAGAGTCTAGGGAGTTTTGATTGCTTCTTTCTGGGAAGGGAAAATAGAATAGATCTTGCAGGTGGGCTAGGGACAGGTGGGGATGGGAACAGGAGGGACCAGGCACTGGAAATTGGGAGACATTTGAGACACTGGAATCGGGAGGCATTTGGGGGATGAAAATTTCTATTATTATCAACAAACATTTAAGTGGTTTCAGAATTTTCAATGGATATCCCTTAATGTGCCTTTTTTTCTTGTGTGACTGTTTCTGTGAGATGGGTTCTCATTTGGCTAAGCCATAAGAATGTGCACTAACTAATAAATGCTATAAACACAGCATGAAACAACATTATCCATTTGTACTCCCGTCAGTAAGTCGTGAGTTTGTCTGCTTCTCTGCACCTTATCCATACGGAATAGTTAGTTCTGTCTTTAAATCTGCCCATCCTATGAGGAAATTAAAAACATTCAATTATAATTTAGAATTTCCAAGTTATTCTTAATTCTGACCAGGCTTTTTGCAAACCTTTATGGTGTTTGTTCCCCACCTACCACCACCCCACATCACAAATATTTTTCTGAAACTGTTAGACGAATGTGAAAAATGTACCACACAATATCTAGCTGATAATGTAGTCATCATCCTCGGCCCTCTCTTCCTCGGGTTAGTGTCACAGAAATGGGAAGAAAGAGGAGAGTGTCGTCTTTATCTTCCTTCTTTCTCTTGTGTTCCTTCAGTCACTGGACTCAGAAATCCAAAATTTGAAATTGAGACTCTTTTAATAATATTGTTTTATAAGCAAGCCAATGACTACATGGGCGTAAATCAAATAAAATTCAAATATCCCTGTCTTAGCAAATGTCCGTCGAGATCTCCAATCAAAACTCCCTACTAATAGGAACATGAGTGAAGGACAGAGACCCGACATGCTGCACGTCTCTGGGGGAAGCTATCTACTAAAACACCTATTAAAACTGCAACTACACTATGGGCCCTAGAATTTCACTCCTTGGAATCTGATAATAGAGAGGACAGCACTGAGATGATACATCACATGAATGAGGTCATAAGTCACTCTTCAATGTCAATCTCTTGGGATCCCAGTAAAATGGAGATTTGTTTGTTTGTTTTATAATAACCATATCCTCTGGGCTTTGGGGCCATTATCTGCCCCAGTCCTCAGTTCTCAATATTAACAAGAATCCTTCCCTATATCAGTACCCTTTCAGCTTCATGCATCATCTTCTAGTCTGTAGACAATGACATGGTTCGGGTTTTTTTATGTTAATAGCATGGCTGTGTTTTTTATGCCTTTATACTTATATGAACATATTTCTAAGTGAGCTATTACTGCTATGTTTTACAAACCTTTTTCAAAGAGCATCACAGAGTTAAGGGGTTCCTTTCAGCGGCCATATGATATCCTACATGAGGCTATGACGTAATTGACTCAGATATTCCCTATGAGCTATTTGAGTTGTCCAGAGTTCTTTGACAAATTCTTCAGAGAACACATTTGAAATAAAGCCCATGTACCTAGTGGTTTTGTTTCTCCTGGCTAAATTTTTAGGCATTTTAGGTGAAAAACTTATGTCAGTTTAAATTTTAATAAACAAAGACATGTTTTGGCAATTCCTAAAAACTTTCAGTAATTCATTTCTAATAACAGTGTATAAGAGCACTCCTTTCCACCTTGCCCTTCTCTGTATTAAATGTTATTAATAATTTAATCTTTAATCAACTTAATTGAAGGATTGTTTTATCCTTATTCGTGTTTCCTGAGCACAAGAGAAGTTTTTAAACCGTTGACTTGGGGCAAGATAATATCTCAAGAACTCTGTTTCGCATGGTCGCTCACTAGACTACATTCACCCCAAACAGAATCACAGACTCAAGCCTCAGCCCAGTGTGAAGAGGAGGAAGCCACCAGAGCATTGTTTTCCTTCCCCAAAGACTAGATAAGATGGTGGAGAGCAGAAAAAACTGTAAATTGGGGGTCAAACATCCACTCTACTAAGAGCAGAAACAGTGACAGGAAGACTGGACCACCAAGTGGGAGAGAGAAACACCTCCCACCAGGAGAACCAGGAAACAGAAGCACAGGAAATCCTTTCAGGAGAGCTTTGAAGCAGGCATGCTCAACCCCTCCCCTCCCCAGCCACTGGCAAGCTTCCACCTTCAGTAGGGATCTGTAAGGGCCTCAGAACTGGGCAAAAAACTTTCATATCTTAAAAGAGGAGGGAGATGAGAGACGAGGTGGGCTATCACCCAGCTCAGTTCCCTTCTCAAGATGAAATCTAACAGGGAAGTTGGGAGTTCTTCCAAAAGTATGGCATGGAGTATTGCCACCATGACTTTTCTTGACCCATCCGGACCTCCGGTGAAATACTGGCTTTGGTGTATTTCCCATTTCTCAATTAAACTATTCTTATGCTATTTTATAAACATTTTTTTCTGCTTCATTTTGCAAACATGTATTACAGATATGTTTTTCTTGCTTATTCACAGGACTTCTGATTTTGCTATTGTGCTGTATCAGCAGAGATTTTGAAATTTTATGTCATTAAATCAAAGTTTTTCCTTTATGTCTTCTGGGAGTCAGCCCTGCTTAAGGAAGTGTGCATAAATGTTCCTCTAGATTATCTTTAACAGTATAAAGAGGTTATAACGTCACCACTTTCATACATTCAGATTTTTAATAAATCTGAAGTCAATTTTGCATGTGGTATAAGTCAAATATGTTCTAGTTTTCTTGGCTAGGTTCAGCTCCTGTCTCCATCACTTATCAGCTGTTTAACTTTAGCTCAGGGTCCCAACCTTGCTGTGTCCCAGGATTTTCATCTGCTAATGAGGATGATAATAATCAATGTCTATCTCAAGGGGTTGTTATGAGAATTAAGTGGATGCATAAGAAGCTCCTGGGATACTACTGTCTGGTGGGTAGCAAGGGCTCATTAACTCTAACTAAGCCAGTGGAACAGCACAGACATGATTTGTTAAACATTTTCCTCAGTCAAAATGCAGAATTTAGTAGTATAAAGTTTATATATATATATATAATGTGTAATATAGAGAGTATATATGTATATATATGTATGTATGAATATATTGATCTATTTCATTTTGCTTCCATTGAACTACATATAAATGCTATACTTTTTGTTACTAGCTTCATGATAAGTCATAAAGTTTAGAAGCGAAATTCCCCCTCTCTAATTCTTTTGTAGCAATCCTTTTCATTTTTTAAGAAGAATTATATATTCGGGTATTTTTTTTCCTGCATGTCTATGTACCACATATGTGTAGTGCCTACAAAGGGCAGAGGAGGACATCAGGCGTTACAGGCAGTTGTGAGCCACCAGGGGTGTGCTGGGAATCAAACTCAGGCCTTCTAGAGAAGCAGTCAGTGATCCTAATGGTTGAATCATCTCTCCAGCTCTTACATTTGTTTGTTCATTCGTGTGTGTGTGTGAAAGAGAAAGAGTGTATGTGTGTGCATGTGTGACGTGTGTGTGCATATGTGTGCACATGCTTGTGAACCCCGTGATGCGTTTGCGGAGATGAGAGGACACATTTCAGAAGTGGGTTCTCCCATTCCAGCACGTGAGCGCCAAGGGTCTAACTTGTCAGGCTCAGGGACAAGAGCGTTCACTCTCCTAGCTGTCTCCCAACTCTTCTGTCAGCGATCAATTTTTGTGTTGATCTTACGAGCTTTAAAACAACCTGGCCACGCGGTATTCATCTACGCGTTCTTTAAGTTAGTCAGAAATCACTTTGGATGAGCAGTGGAACCGAGCCAGCAGTTCCATCCCGTCCAGAAGACTGCTCTCAATAACCATCTCAGAACCAGAGGTGAGATGGAGCATAATCCTGCCCAACACTCACAACTTCTACCATACAGATGCCAAATCAGAAAGCTCTGGGGAGAGCAGCCACTCTCTCCCTCATTTGCTCATTTGAACACGTTCCACTGTGCCGCTGTGCACCCCTTCATTGTGTTAGCAAAGAGCTCGGTGCCTGCACTGTGTGCGTGCTTTCACCGTGGCAAGCCGAGCTATTCTGTGGCCACTGTTTTTACCAGCTCGTCCCTAATGTAAGGAGAGGCTCTCCCCACTTGTTACCTCGGGGGCACAGAGCAAAGATTCCCCTGTCTTTCTTTGAACTGTCTTTAGCCCGTCCGCTTTCTAGGATAAAATGGTTTATCTGGATTTGCGCAATCATTTCCTGTCGTTCCAAGATCAAGCACCATCTTGCCGTGTAAACATGTGCCCTTCTGTCCGCCCGAGAAGCTTAGAGGGCACCAATTCAGGTTTCCCTTCCGATGGTGACCAGGAAGGGGCCCAATAAATATTTCAAACATAAAAGGATTGTTATAACAAAGGGGTTTTAAATCCCCCCTGGGTTATCTGAACAGCTTTCCGTTTCATTTTGTTTTTTACCTCTACCATTCTCAAAGGGGAAGAGCCTTGTCTTTTTTTTTTTTTCCAGAACAAAACACAAATGAACACAGAAATGGGTTAAGATTCGAAAAGAAAACGGAAACAACAGGGACACCAGCAGCAGACAAGTGGAGATCTCAGAAACAAAGACGCAATATCAAGTGGAAGAGACACCTTAAGGTAAGAAGCCCGCCTGAGTCCAGGTCAGCCTGGGTAATCCCCACGGAGGGCACTCGTCCTGATAGCAAGCAATTCTTCCCTCAACGACAACTCCATGTAGCTGTGTTATAAACACAAACCTATCAGAGCCTGCGTTACACACACCTTACTGTGACATGGCAAATGGTGTCTGGCTTCCCAGATAAGCTTTATGGAGAGTGAAGCGCAGGGGGACAAAAGAAGTAGGTGAGAGACACAGAAGAAACACTTCCCTTAATCCTTTGATGTCACCAAAGCGGTCAGCGATGAAAGAGGCCTCCTCCTTGCCTTCCCTCTTTGCAGAGACTGGAGGAGCGAACTGCCGGTAAGCCTTGGACAAGGCAAATGGCAATGGATATTTTTAATACGCACTTTCATTTTTACTTTAAGCGGAGTGAATGTATGTGCTTGCAGCACACAGTGTGACATTTCAATACCTGTGTACAATGTGTGGTGATCACATCACGACAAATAGCCTGTCTACCACCTGCAACATTTTTCTGTGTCGAGTACATTCAAAATTCTCTTTATTAGATGCTTTGACATACACAGCTAATTGCGGTCAACCATAGCTATCCTTCTGTGCCATAGATCATGAGAAGCTAAAACCCACCTGTCCTAGAAAGAGGACAGTTGCCTCTGTATAAATTGTAAGGTTTCGTTATCCAGCTTTCCTTCTCCAGGTGTTTGCAATGAGTGTCATACTGAACTACTTCCAAGAGACTTTCTCCTTTGACTACCAAACAAAGTGCTTGATCCCCCTCATGGGAAACTGTTAGGAAAGCCAAGCAGGCCAAGGTAACTTATAAGAGGTCTGAACCTTACAGACCATACGGCTTCACAATGGAGTATTTCGCCAATACAGGCATTTGGCCCAAAAGCAGCAAAGGCATTCGTATAATTAATAGAATCCAAAGTATCAGTTATGAAAGACTTTGGAGTCTGTTTGGTGACAGGTCCTTGCTCGAGGGTTATAAGAATGAACATATTACCTCGTCTTCACGGTCCTTCCGTTGTAGTTTAGACTAATATACAAGAATAAATTCAGGTGCTCCTGGAAATGCTTGCCTACACTTTTAAAGCTATACAGAGGCCAGGCATGCAATTAGAGTCCTGGTGATTTCGTTTATAACGTTATAACAACGCGAAACTCAGGTTAGATGATCAGTCCGTTTCATGCAGCTAAATAAAGTACATTGCTTTTTCCTGAAAATAATGTTAGGCTCTTTCTGTCTCCAAGGCTTGTGATATCATTGTTTCCATAGGAATTTTTATCTCCCTCTTTAGAGTGCTTAAGTGCGTGGACCCAGTCAGTGTCTTTAATTGTATTCAACTACTTGAAAACAACCTGACCTGGGAAGAACTAAGCAATAAAATTATGTTTTCCCTGCTGAGTAAAACCCATGCTGGCTTTCAAAGTGGTGAGTTGTACTTCTAAATAATAATAAATCAGGAGCAGAAAAGCAGATGGGAATGAAGCCAATTTATCATTAAGACACATGTTCTCCCACTCAAGTGCTAACCGGCTCCAGCCCTGCTTAGCTTCCAAGACCTCGATGGGAGTGTTCGGGGACAGATGCGCTGTCTGTAGTTAAAAAAAAAAAAAAGAAAGAAAGAAAAGAAAGAAAGACGAGGAAGGTTGGCGGGCAATCATGGGGAAAATGTGGCGCACTACTGGAGACGTGTCAGGAGCGCATCCGCAAACCCCCCAGAGCCATTGATAAGATGCTGTGGGCTGCTCTCGTTACCCACCGCAGCTGTCCACGCTGATGAAGTCACAGGACAGTGCCCCAGGAAAGCACGTGCCCAACAAATATTTACCAAATGAAGCTAGCTATTTGTCTAGTTCTTCGTTTGAGCGCGTATTGCCCGAATCATGACGTGATTAGACCACAAGTCTAATTAGGCTTGGACTTGACTAATAGGTTGGTTTCATTTGTGGTCTTTCATAACGAAACTTTCCTCCTAGGGAACGAGAAGTGGAGAGGGAGCTAAAGGCTGCTATTGCCCTCACCGTAAGGAGGAAGAAACTGGGTCTCACAGAGGTGAAAAGACCGCTCACCTAGGGTCGGACCTGCTTCTTGGCATCCCACTCCGGTGGACTAGCAAGGACTTATGCCTCAGGGTCATTCAGCGAAGCACGTCAGTTCACAGGGGTGGGCAGGTTATACATGAAATATAGGAACAGTTTCATGTAATCGTTAGCACGAAGCTGAGTGGATGAGTCCTCCTCCCCAGGTAGAGAGTGCCTCCCAGAATCACTTACCTACCATGGCCTCTCACTTTTCAGTAAAATTAAAAACCTCATCTCCATCCATTCTTTTTCTCCGTGAAGCAGGGGGCCTAGGGCTTGGAGCTAGAAGCAGGGGGCAAGGAGTGCATTCTTGCTTGCACAGCGACATGGTGGCAGTCTCCTTCCATGGGTGTTCAGAACTCCAGGCTGTTGTGGCCTTGTAGGTCCCTCCCTCCCCTTTTCTCTTTTTTTAAGCCTGTTCCTATAGTTTTGCAAGTAGATTTTTACAAGTCTCTAAGCTACTGAGAGTTAAAATAAATTGAGAGTTCAGAGGTATGTGTCTTACGTACAACACAAGATCTTGTCAAACTTCCTTCAAATTATATAATTAAAACCATTCACATCACACTTTGCTAGAAGGCCATAGAAGCTTTGAGTGCAGCGTATCCTATCCAATTTGACTGGCCCTCTAATCACTTAGGAGAGCACCTTAGGCCCCTGTTTTACAGATGTGAAGGCCACAGGTTCATGATAAGAAGGAAGCAAGATTTGATGAGATTGACGTCCTTAACTATTACTGGATATTATCTCTCCCGGCAGATGCTCTGGGAAAGCACAAAAGCAGTGTGTTATCTTCTGTTGCATATCTTCAGTTCTTTCTGTAGGAGTCCCGGGATTTACCACGGCCATTTGGTGACAACGGTAAGAGCAATCTGTGTCATGTAATTTAACCCCAAAATGTACCCCTCCCCAACCTACGCTTCAATCATTGGTAGAAACTACAACCCCACTGCCTGGACGTGGACACTACCACTCAACCCCTAAGCTCCTTGTATAAGGCCATGACATTATTGAGTGGCAAAGCCAACCCCCAAACCCAGGTCAACTTGACACCAGAGCCTGTGCTCTCAACACTTGAGCTCTGCTGTGAACCAAATTAGATCTGAACACGGCTCACCATCCAAGCCGCTAAGAAGCAGAGGCCACAGACTGATCCCTCTGGGCTCGAAGCCTCTCTTTGAAGCCCAGAAGATCTCGTGGTGCAGCCACGGTCCCTGTGCCTTGTATCCATGGGTGGTGGGGTGGCAGTGTCCTTTCGGCGTTCAGGCACTCAGACCACCCCATCCTCTCCTCCCAACCATGTCCCCAGCCTAGACTCAACTCTAGAACTGGTTTCATTGACGGTGGAACATAATTCTCTTGCAGTAAAGCCAGACATGTGGAGTCGGGGGATTGCCACAATGTTTTCGTGGCATTAGGCCAGTTGTATTTTACAATCACTGACCTAAGGTCTAGCTCCTGATAACAGGAGTAACACCAGCCATGGCATCTGGGGAAAACACACCCTCTAACAGCTGGATAACCCAACCCTTTTTGCCATCTCTGCTCTCCTAGTTGCTCTCCTTGCTAGATTACCTCCACACCTCTTTCTCCATCTCCCCCAAGACCTAGGGGTTCCCTGGGAGGTGAGTTCCTGTTGGGGGGGAGTGGTACTTTTCTGTAGATAGGAACAAAGACAGAGCGAGGACATCTAGTCTCTGCAAATGGAGATAGGGCTGACCATGACAAGGCGTGACAGACGTGGGATTTGCATGTGAACACCAGCTATCTGAGCATCACAGACTTGTCAGAAACACATCTGGGAGGTAGAGAAAGAAAAATGTGACTTCGCATTTTGGCATATTTTGGAGAGCAGATGCTAGGGAGACAGCGGCATTGGTGCAGTGTTTTCCTGTGTTTCACCATATTGTTCCATCAGTATGAACCAAGCATCATAACATTTTCCTTCTCGGGGCTATAAATTTGCATGTTGACGGATTCTCTTTCTTTCTGGCCATAAAATATTTATATTTCCAAATTATTTGAGGTTTGAAAAAGCTAAAAAACCACTTAAACCAAAAAGGAAAGGAGGGAAAAAGGAAGAAAGCAAAGAAAAAGAGAGAAAAAAAAGAGATTATTTGTTCAGGAACACACACAGCTTCTAGCACGGCTGTGTCCAGACACTCACGTGGTGTGGTAGGAACCATCCATCTCTTGGCTCTTGTCCCCTTTATATTGATTGTGTTTTCTGGCAGGTTTTCCTTCCATGGTGAGAAGATATCCCACCCTCTCTAAGTAAGACATTATCTCTCTCTCTCAAGAAGTCAAGCAAGATCCTCAGGTTTTTCTTTATGATATGGTGTTGGTCAAGGACCCAGTCCAGAATAGTGCTGTGGCTGGGGCATTATGGGATATTCTCTGATCAGACCCGAATCTCCAACACAGAGCTGGCAATCTCAACATCTAAACCACGCAATCAGCATCTGGGAGAAGCGGTTCTTCAGAGAAAGAGACGGAATCCTCCTGCAGAAGGGAAGTGAGCAGGCCAAACCACAGAGGATTGTGAACTTTCTTCGGTGGATCTTGGAGCGAAGCCTTCATTAATTCATCTTTTTGCTTATCCTTTTTTTAGTTTTGCTTTTTTATCTTCTGCATCCAAACCACAAAAAAAAAAAAAACAGAAAAGTAAAAGAAAAATACTATTTTCTTTGAATGATAGCACCAAGTGCAATAAAGCAGGAGCCAATTTATCAACAGAAGGCCATTTTCTCTCCCCTTTTAAATGAGATTTCCCAGCTCGTTGCAAAGACTCCATAGTTATGGCCAGGTGGTAGTAAGCAGCACACATGTTAATTCGGAGGCTGCTACACCGCTGGCCCAGAGCCAAGTCTCAATTATTAGAGGATGTGGAATATGAGGAACTAGGGATCAAAACTAAGGCCCAATTTTATCCACAGGTTTGACACTTCCTAGATAAAAGTTTGCCCCAGCTGCTGTGAACAGTTGTGCTGATTTGACAGTCGCATCTGGTGAAATTGCCCCCCACATACCTAGATAGAATTATGGGCCCTGTGATCCTCAGCACACTCCAGAGAGTTTGAGGGATTCACATCCACTTAGCCCAGATGCTAAATGAGAGCATTTTATCATAGGTGGGGGAGGAGACGATTCAGTTGACCCAGTGCCTCAAAGAACCAACAGTGAAAACCGAGTCACAGGTCGCAGCTTGAAATTGAATTCCTTCTTGCCTTGCCCCCATCTCCAGGCTAGCCAAAACTCCCAAGGGACATCCCTACCAAAACACAGAATGTCTTCTTCAAAGAAGTATCCACTGCTTGTTTTGTTGCTGCAGCGAAACGTCTGAGAAAAGTAATTTGAAGAAGGGAGGTTTATTTTCATCCGTGATCCCAGAGTGTAGCTCATCATTGAAATGAAGTCGGGGTGATGGGAACTCAAGGCAGCTGATAACAATGCATGCATATTGTTTACACTTACATTGAATTGTAATTCAATGCTCAGCCAGCTTCCTCTCTTTTTATTCAGGACCCCAGTCCAGAGAGTAGTCTTGCCCAGAGTTAAGGTGGATCTTTCCACCCCAGTTAATCCAATCTAGAAAATCCCTTACACGTGTGCCCCTAGACTTGTCCCCTAGGTGGCTCTCAATCTAGACAGATTGACAACCAAATTAACAGTTGCATTCATCTATCCTTAATCCTTCTGGTTACTGAAATTGTAAACAATGGCCAGAGAGAGGCTGGAGATGAGAGATGGGGAAGCTTAAAGACAGAGCAGTGAGGGAAACTGAGTAAAAGGAACCACATTGCGCTCCAAGGAGCTGGAGCAGAGGGAGAGGCAGCTTCCTGATGGAGGCTAGCATCAAAGGGTCTCTACCTGGTAGTCAGTTTTCATTTGTAAAAATCATTTTTATCTGGGACTGGAGAGATGGCTCAGCAGTTAGGAGCACTGACTGCTCTTCCAGAATACCCGGGTTCAATTCCCAGCACCCACATGGCAGCTCCAGTTCCAGGGGTTCTGACACCCTCACACAGACATACATGCCGGCAAAACACTGATGCACATAAAATAATAATAAATAAATTACATTAAAAATATTTTAATTAAAATATAATTATAACATTTCCCCCTTCCCTTCCCTCTCTCCGGTCCCTCCCCTGTGTGCTCCTCCAACCTTTCCAATACCCCAACTCCCTTTCAAGTTCATGGCCTTTTGTTGCTTTGACTATTATTGTCACATATATTTATATGTAATCATAAATAAATAAATGGATACATTGAGAAAGAAGACATTTTATGTTTTGATAGGGAAGATCCTCAGGGTTTTTGGCTAACTTGAGGTGGGGGCAGGGCAAGAAGGAATTCAGTTTGAACCAACTGTGTTTGTTGAGTGTTGTTTGTGTGCGTGATTTCAGGGCTGACTACTTTGTAGTGGATAACCAGTTAGGGAGCTCATCCCCTGGGAATACTCATTCTCCCTTTCTCGGCTTCATTTTGTCCTAACTTCTCCCCAACATGATGACCCTAACTACCTCATTTTTTTTCTCTAGAAACTGGAACTATACCTTTTTTTTTTTTTTATGTCTTCCTATGGGTAGCCTATCGTACCCAGCTTGATTACAAAGTATCTGTGATTCTCGCATGGTCTGTGCTACTGCCCTGTCACCAGCTACCATTTATTCTGGAGGGAACACTATAAGCTGGTGGAACAAAGCCATCTACTTCCTGACCAGAAGGCAAAGAAGCAAAAGAGGAAGAGACAAACCTCGCCAAGGACACACCTCTAAATCTAAAAGTCTTCCACTAAACCTCGCTTCTTAAGTTTTCACTACCACCCCATAGCTCCATCTATGGCCAAGTCTTCAACAGAGGGGCTTTTGGCAAACCAAAACTTCCAAACCGTAGCACTGTGAAGAGTTAAACACGTAGCCAAACAGGCCTGTCACCTAGCAGATGTATAAAAAGGGAACTTTAGTTGAAATTTTATTTGATTTCATTTATTTTTCTTGCCATACTGAGATCATATCCAGCGCCCTAGTCATCAAAGGCAAGTATTCAATGCCAAGCCACACACTCAGCCCTTAACTAAAATTTCAAATACATCTATTATTTAATCCAGAAGTCCCACTTCTGGAAAATCAGCTTTCTTCAGAAAACCACAGGCAAATAAAGACGTGTGCCCATCATCTATCAGGCAATGAAATGGGGAAGAGGAGAGAAGCTAGGATGCCTAACTAGCGTGCACCCAACCACTGCAGGAGGCGATAAGTTGTCAGATAACAAACGCAGCTGAGGTGTGTGGGTAATGGAGTCACATGACATGACTCAGAATCCTGATGTAACCATGCTGTATGGCCCTGAACAAGTCATCTGTCCATGATCCCATCTCTCGGCTCTGTGAGGTGGCAAGGACAGATGAGTTTATTTCATAAGTCACAGCGACCATTGAATTAATGATGTGAGATTCCCCTTTGTATGCTGTGAATACCATTGGTTAATAAAGAAGCTGCTTTGGGCCAATTGCAGCACAAAATAAGGCAAGGCAGGAATTCCAAGCAGATAGAGGAGGAGAGAGCAGGCAGAGTCAAAGAGACGCCATGTAGCCACAGAAAGAGAAAGACACTAACTGGAGCCTGCCAAAAGCTTGCTGTTAGGTTACAACCCTGTAGCGATGATCAGATTAATAGAGAAGAGTTAATTTAAGATATAAAAGCTAGCTAATAGGCCAAGCAGTGTTTTGGTTAATACAGTTTCTGTGTGATTATTCCAGGTCTGTACAAGTAGTCTCCACCAACAAGTTAACACTTAGAATATGCTAGAAGACATACATAATAAACTACTAAATTTCAACTATTTTACAACCTTTTATTTTTGCTTTTTTTGGGGTGTAATTTATATATTCAGCCAACCCCAGGATGTTGAAAGCTTATGAATTTGGGTAATCATATGAAATTTTCAAACTTCCAGAACAATCAAGAATTTTTTTTTTTTGGTCATCCCAAAGAACTCTCCACATGTCCTTCTACAGGGCATTCTGTCCTTGCATTAGGCTGTTTTAGAATATCACCTGCACTTCTGTGCCTGAGATCCTGAAGTCTGCTGTGAGTTCCATGCCATCGCGCGCGCGTGTGTGCTTGCACTTTTTCTGCTGAGCAGTCTGTCATGGCACGATGCAGCAAATCTGTTCTTCCGCTCACTAGCTGATAAATGTCCCAGAGGCCTCCACCCCTTTACAGTTTCTCCGCATGAAACTGCTGTGAATTTTACATACAAGAGCTTACATGTCCATGTCTTCATTTTTTCCCTAGAAGTAAGATTTATGAGTCACGAATTGAGTGTGTTTCACTTTATAGTGAGCTATCAATGGTTTCCATAATTGTGTTATCATTTTATATTTCTGCATATGACTGTTGATTTGAAAACTCTGGGCAAACAAATTGCGATGTCACCGCACCTCACTTCAGAATGGGTATAAATGTAAGTGCACAGTTAAGTGGGAGGCATACCCACTCTCTGTTATTATTTATTCATTAGCAGCAGTTGCTTCTGGGACACAGCATCAGAGAACTAAGGAGCTGTTTTCCGTCTTTGTCAAAATGGCAGACTTGTGATTTCTTTTTTCTTTAAAAATATTTCTCAAGTAAATAAAACCATTAATTTTACTTGAAGATGATACTCATCTGGAAAGAGATTCCCTCCTTTCCCAAAGATTCCAGCAGAACAGATGCGAAGGTTGGAAGCTCTGGGAAGACTGATAAACAGCTGTGGGAACGTTGCAACATCTCAGGGAGCCCAGGAGGAGTGAGGCGCTGCTGGTGCTGGTTTCTTGGATCTGCCTGAGCAGGGTCTTCACTACACACAGGAATCCCATTCATTCTTGGTGATTTTTTTCCACACTTGGGCTCAAAAGACAGAAGGGCGGCTTCCTTCTTCATCTTTATTTCTTTGTTTGTTTGTTTGTTTGTTTGGGGTTTCTTGATTTACAAATTATAGTCACTTATTTTAAAAGTGAGGAAATAATTATTGTATTACTAAATTCTGCTTAGGAATTCATAGTCTTGCTAAACACTAGCAATCCCACTGGCCATCCTATGGGATCCTGGACACATTTTCAAAGCTTCAGGCCAGGGAGCAGGGTTTGCCAATTACCAACTTGATGGTCTCCGGAACCAGTGTGATTCTCCCGAGACACCTGTCTTCCTGTCACCGGGCAGGAATATAACGTGCTCGCCCAAACCTTCTTGTTGATGGTCCTAACTGCCTACCAGACCCTTTCCCTGCCTCTGGGGCCAGCGGTTTCTAGCTTGGCCTTTCGGTGCAGCATGTCTAGCCAGTTAGTCACTGCTCCAGGACCACTCTGCCAGGAAAAGCCTATTGTTCCTGCACTTCCGGATCGTTGATTTCCTGTCATTTTTTTTTTCTACAGGGAAAGAAGAAAGACCATTCGAAAATCCCAGGAGCCTCTGCCGCATGTCCCAGTTGTATTTATCACAATTGTGTGCTCCATTCGTGGTGAGGGCGAGCAGAAGGTCTCACCCAACCTAAGTGCCCTTGAACGCCAGGCAGTTTCCGCCTGGGTCCCCAGCACCAAGGCTACCTGTTTACACACACACTCAATGGCTCCCTAGATGGGGAAGATGATGCTCCGCTCCATGGAGGCTGGACATCTTCCCAGGCTGGGGAGGAGGGACAAGCACTTGAATAGGTGGAAATGTCTCCTGAGCATTCCTGCCCTTCCCCTAACTCATACCAAAGTAAGAACTGGGTCAGACAATCTGCGCCTTCTTGCCCAGGAGAGACTGAGTCACTAGGATAGGAGAGACGACAGGCAGGGTGAGAACTGAGAAAACCAGAACCCGGGTTTGAGTCTTGGAATAGACAGACACGCACACATGTGTACTTACCTGTGCACACACGTGCTCACATGTGTATTCTCGACAGTCTTTGTGGGGACCTGGGTCTGGGCCTTGTGAATTGCTAGGTTAGTTCTCTACCACCAAGTTATACCTCCGTGATTGTCCACATTCTACATATTGATAGGTACATATGAGTCAGAGAGCTTGCTCAAGTTCACACAGCTACCAAAATAACTGACCCACAGCTGACCTGTGCCTAGACAACAATGAAGTTAGGCCACTAATCTCCTATTCACTAGCTCTGTGTTTTCTGGTGATTTACTTAGCTATTTGGGGGTCAGTATATTGATGTGTTCAAACAAGAATAAGAAAACCCATAGGATGTGTTTCTGGATAGACTTGAGAATTAAATTAGTTTATGTGTATATTTTCGATATACAAAAGGTCCTTTTGCCTCTTTACCTTCGTTTTGGTTTTTCTTCGAGGTACAATAATGCAATCATATAATGAGAAACATGGAAATCACTTGTTATGTAAAATTAGTCTTTATTGTTTGGAGACATTATTTAAACAGAAGACTATGACTCTGTAGCTTCTTATAGAAGGTAGTGTTCATAAAGGGCTGTCGCTGCTTGTGGGTGTGTGGACTGCACACCCTCTAAGATGCAGAAGTTGATATCTGTCAAAGCTAAACCTGTGCATATTCTTTGCACCAGTTCTTCCCTGCTGTGGGAGGACGGTCTTGTACCCTGTCACTTATATTGCATTGTTTTAATAAAATGCTAATTGGCCAGTAGCCAGGCAGGAAGTATAGGTGGGGTGACCAGGCAGTAAGTAGAGGCAGGCCAACTAGAACAGAATTCTGGGGAGAGGAAAGGATCAGTCTGCAGTCATCATCCAGATGCAGAAGAAGCAAGATGAGAATGCCTCACTGGTAAAAGTACCAAGCCACGTGGCTAACATAGACAAGATTAATGGGTCAATTTAAGATGCAAGCATTAGTTAATAAGAAGCCTGAGCTAATAAGCCAACCAGTTTATAATTAATGTAGCAGACCTCTTTGTATTTCTTTGAACAGCGTGGGACTGGGTGGGACAGAAATCTCTGGTGAACACTTCCCAGAATGTAAGCATGAGAAATAAAGGTGTTTATTACATCATCACCTATAAA